AGGTCGCAGAGGCTGTAGGTACAATAAGGATTTGAGTATTCACTGTTCAGGCTCTGCGCCGTTCTGCTTTCCATCTTGCACCCTCGATCCACTTGTCCGCGTGTTATCCGCGTGGTTTCAGAAGCCAAATAACGGCTGGGATAGTTATTTGAGCAATCATCAGCCCTTCTTTATTTGCGTGCCATGTTTGTGTCAGGGCATCGTGCTCCTGCTTTGAGATTGCTGCCAGAGACAGCATGTCCGATCTTTGTAGGCGTCCGGCGGATTTCCCTGGCACTTGGCACCGTGAATGCCTGAGCCGTAAGCCCCAATCGAGTGCGAAATTGCAAAAACACAACATTAACGATATGAAGATTCTGAGAGTCCGATGTCGCCATCTAAGAACAACCTGGAAGTGGCACTTATTGCCCACCTGCAAATTTGGGGTTCGCCTTTATCGCTGTATATGCTTTCACCACTGCCGACTACATACACTGGTGATGGGTTCTGTACAACCCTACTACAAGGTGCTATAAACCCTGAAGCCCAAACACTAAATCCTTGTAATTAAAGATTCGATCACGAACTCGAGGCCCCAAACCCCTTCCGGTTTAGCTGTTCAAAGCCCGGCAAGCAGGCTCTCGGAGTTGGAAACCCAGACCCTCCAGAATCCCTTCATCAAGGAATAGGCCTTAGCATATAGTAGGATCCTTAACATGATTTAAAGCATGTTCCTTAAATTATCGGGACTTGGAGGTCCCTACTATAGTTGTAGTATGATGGATCCCATAATCCTCTTCTAAGCACATAGTCCCTCATACCCCAACCATCCCAAACCCTCTAATTGGGAAAAGGCGCCTGCGAGGGTCTGAAGGGTTTTTCTAGTTTGTTTAAGGGTTGTAAGGGCTTCGCATTATGTTGTAATGACACTTATTGAATCCCAAAACCTGAAGTAAGGGCGTTGTTAAAGCAACTTGCTGGTTTAGTGCAGAATGTGCAAGAGAAGTCTGTGTCAACGAGCCGCCAGAAACCTAGACCCTCCATCTACCCTGCAGTAGACTGCAGATGCCAATTTTGGTGGACCATATACACCCCTAGGTCAGAGTACGTACAAGGACACCCTAAACCCCTAAACCCAGATAGCAATTTTTTGTGGGGGTTCCTTTTTATAAATATAGTAGAATATGCTCCAACACCCTATCTTTTTCCTAAGGCCCCTATACCCTAAACCCTTATAGTACCCCTTATAGTAATTCTTATAGACCCCTTTAAAGAAACCCTATTCTATTTCTTAAGGCCCCTATGACCAGTCCAGGAAAGCCCCAGGGACTCAGCCGGGCTCGCCTTTCCAAGCTAACGAAGCAGCTGCTCCTTTCGGGGAGCCTGGTCGGTTGAGACGGAAAACAGAAGCACCAAGCCCAAGGCTCCATGTATCCTTATAGTACATACTTAGGCCTTAAAGTACATATATAGAGACCCCTTTAAGGCTTAAGTATCTACTATAAAGGTACATGGAGCCTTTGGGCAACTGAGGATAGTGGGTTTAGGGGTTGGGGGTTAAGGGTTTAGGGTTTAGACTGAGTTTCGCATTTTGTACAGCACCAACTGATAGTAGTGGGTTTAGGGCTGAGGGGTTAGAATGGGTTGATCATACAGTTGGAGAGCAATTTGGGTGTTGAACTGCAAAGCAGGAGCCCCCATCGCCGCACGCCACATAGGGACCGTGCGTGAGCCACACCTATTTCCATTAAGCCCGCCACTTATGAATTCCCCTGAAGCGTTGAGTCCGGGCCTGGGGTTCAGATTTCGACCATTCAGTAGTTTGGAATTTAAGGTATGCATTGGAAGGTTAGGCGGCTCAACCCATGTACCCTTACAACAGACCCCATAAAGTTGGAAACCGGGTTAAGGCCAAATAGTGCTGGGATTCCCTATACATTACTCTTAAGGACTGAAGGTATGGGGTTTCCAACTTTTGGGCTTCTACTGTAAGGCTGAACACCCCGCGCGCAGGCTTACAAGAAAGCGAATCGTTCAGACTTGTCGCTGATGATGATCGAGAAGCTTACGCAGCAGTCCAAGTGATAGTTGCTTCAATCAGGTTACCCCAGAGTTGTTTGTCGGTGTGCACTTCAGCATGAATGTGGTCATATTTCCGAAACTGATCTGCGCAGCACAGAACCCCCTTTTCCTTCTTAAACCATTGCAAGATCTCAAGCAATATGTACGCTTGAAACATTACCAATACTGTTATGTAGGGTTCCGGTTATAAACATCGAAATATGCGCACTCCAAATCCCCAGTATAGGCCCCTGTTTCATATTTTCCGGAGTCCCCAATGCTCAATCTCCAAACCTGCACAGCCCTGCACATCCAAGCACTTGTGTAGTACACACGCAGGGTAAGTTTCCGTTCAAGTACACGGAAACCTTCATTAGGCCAGCATGTCTATGACCCTGGCAGCAGGTGCTTCTGGAAGTGCGCATATTTTACATGCATGCAATGCAATGCAATGCAATGCAATGCAATGCAATGCAATGCATAGCAATGCATAGCAATGCATAGCAATGCAATGCAATGCAATGCAATGCATGTGTGTGTATATAATGTATATATATATATATATATATATATATATATATATATATACATATATATATATATGCATATACAGGTTATAATTGTCAACCTTGTTAGCTTATGCCAGGGCCTGTGGTACTCGTCGACCTGTGCATCTTGATTACCTTGTTCTCTGGCCCAAAGGTCTACTTTGCCCCCCCGTGTCTCGGTCGACCCAAGTTCCTTGCTTTCTGTCGCCATCTGCAGTGAGTGCTTCGTTGGGTGAGTCACTACTCTACCCAAAACACCGAAGACTCCAAGAGGGTCTTAGCTATACCCAATAACCTAACATTTCGGCATATTACCCAAGAGAGTCTTACCTATACCCTATTACCTAACATTACGACCTTTTACAATCCTACATGCCTTCATTTCACTAGTTATCCTCAGCTCGACCACTCGACAACGGAGGCGATAATGCTTTGTTTCCACAGGCAGTAGGGCTTGGGTTTACGGCTTCGGATTTGAATGAATGTGTGTTGTAGTGGTGGTCGTTGACGGTTCTTGCAGCATAAACAAGTGTGTCAATAAAACACGTAGTCTCCTTTGAATGAAAAGGCATAAGATTGTGCCGGAACCTGGAAAGACCGAATTCGATTCCTATTGCAATCTTTGTGAGAAGACGACGGAATGTAAGTAAATCGTCAGCCTTCTCAACCATTCGGATCACGACCAGGCACAATGCTGTCATCGAGCGACGCTTCAAGGACGTGGGCGTTCAGCCACACGAGGGCTGCAGGGCTGGGGTTTGCATTTTTTATGGTCTCCTTCCTAATTTTTTGTATTTTGTTCATATAAAATCCAAGGGAAAATTAAACATAGTATGTTTATTGTGGTTCTAGGGGGGGTATAGTTTTGAGGAGAGTTGGAGGGGGTTGTCGCGATGCGCTCATGGTTGGCTGTTGAGAATTGAAGGGTGGTCTCGATGGATTTTGATCTTCCCGCAAAGCAACTGGGAGGATTAATTGACCGAAGTCAGCACTATTGCGGGAAGAGTAAACCATGTCATAAATCGGTTTTGCTGCGAAGGTCAGTGCCCTAAACACTGCCCAGCCAGCTCATTGGAACCAACTTTATAACTATACATGCCCTGTTGTAGACTTCTTTTAGGGGCCCTGTCGGCGATGTCCAGCCCTCCGGGGCTGACCCAAAGCCCTTAAAACCACGCACATCATAATAACAGTAACAATAACGAGAAAAGTACTAGTAACTATTACATAACAAGAACACACCTGAACTTATGGACGGCATGTCATGTCATGCTTCGGCACCGCCCAGTAGTGGAAGACTCATGACAACAGCTCCAAAGCTCCACACCGTCCCATGAAGGCAATGAACCCCGAGACCCTCCTGAAGTCTGACAGCAACGAATTCGCAAAACTACTGTGTATACTTCCATTCGCATAAGTAGGTACGTAGTTTGGTGTTAGGCTCCGATACTGATGTAAGACAAGGCATGTTTGGCTAGAGGAGGACTTGTGGCCTCAGCATCGCGACTTGTTGCACTGCCAATTCCACCTCCTATGGCGCTGCTAATGCACTTTTCACAGACTGGGTTCCTGAGTAGTACCCTTTTGCCCTTTTTATTTTGGTGTCTCTTTTGCAAACCGAATAGGAGGAAAAAGGGTACCCGTATTATAAAGGGGCTACTCAGCAACCTAGCAGATACTGATGGCATATTCTCAACATGCACCCCCAAAGCCCAAACGGTTTAACCAGTAGCCTTTAACCTTCTTGGGGCACGATATTCCCCATATAACCCCCAACGGAAGTCTTACAATCACCGGTCCTGAACCCTCCTACGATGCCCCTCAACCCGTCGAGGCTTCGCAAGATCGCACCTGCAGCCGTCTGCAGCTTTAGCTGCGTAGGTATCCTTTAATTAACCTTCTCGGGCGGTTCATAAAATCCTACCATGCTTGAAAAGCTTAACCTCTTTCGGGTTAGGGTACTCAGCCCCTAAGGCCCTAAGTTAAAGCACCAGAAAAGCCAAAGCCCAAAGCCCAAAGTCTAAGGCAAGCCCTTAGCTTAGGCTTTAGGGTTTAGGGTTGTGGGCTTAGGGGGAAATCCGACATCCAACAACTCCAGATCCCACCCCCTGACCCTCAGCGCTCAACTCCTTAAAAGAAGCTCCCAAGCAGATACACAACCCAGTCGTAAACAGGAACACGCCCACTCTATAGGTTCTGGTCTCGATAAACCCTTGACAGGATCCAGTGTAACACCACGACAAGACCACAGGGAAGCCTGAACCTAAACCCGAACCCTAATCCCTAAACCTGTAAACCCTAAACCCCAAACCCTATCCTAAACCCTAAACCCTAACCCAAGCCCTAGAAGTTATCAGGGGCAGCTCTACTGGGGAACTACACCCCGAGCAGGGAACTACACCCCGAGCAGCC